ACGGCTGAAGTCTTGCCAAGTGAAGTCAGAAGAACAGTTTTCAGGATGGGCTCGACGCAAGCTCCTGGTTCTGATGGCTTTACGGGCAAATTCTTTAAGGCCTACTGGGATATTGTTGGGGAGTCAGTAATTGAGGCTGTGTGCTCGTTTTTTGAAACAAGTAGAATGCTCAAAAGCTTTAACCATACCTGGCTAACGCTGATTCCCAAGGTAGATAATGTGGAACATGTGAAGCAGTTACGCCCAATTAGCCTGTGCCAGTTTGTTTATAAGATTATAACCAAGATCATGGCTGAAAGGCTCTCCTCCCTCTTACCGCTTATCATTTCAGATGGTCAGAATGCCTTCATTCGGGAGAGGCAGATAATTGATAATATCCTCCTTGGACATGAGTTAATGCATTATCTTAAAATCAAGACGCGAGGCAAGAAAGGGTATATGGCTCTAAAGGTTGACATGGAAAAGGCCTATGATAGAGTCGAATGGCCGTTTCTTCTTTCGGTTTTGGATAAGATGGGTTTTAGCTCGGTCTGGCAAGGATGGATTTATGAGTGTCTTCGATCTGCCTCTTTCTCAGTTCTAATGAATGGGACCCCCTCAGGTTATTTCAGTCCTTCCCGGGGCCTACGGCAGGGTGATCCGCTTTCCCCTCTCTTGTTTGTGCTCTGCACTGAGGGATTCGCGGCACTTATCCGTAAAGCAGTTTCGGAGAAGCGTTTGGCGGGGGTGAAGGTGGCTCCACGTGCTCCTCGGATTTCTCATCTTTTCTTTGCGGATGATTCTTATTTATTCCTGCGTGGATCTTTGCAAGAATGTGAGAATCTGATTGAGGTACTGAATGATTATGAGGAACTTAGTGGCCAGCGTGTGAATCTGGAGAAATCGGCTGTCTGTTTTAGCAAAAATATTGCTCAACCGGATCAGGAGTTTTTGGCCACTATTCTGGGGGTGGGGGCGGTAGGAGTCCACGATAAATATTTGGGATTGCCTACGCTTATTGCACGGTCAAAAATGGCAACTTTCCGTTACCTGGAGGAGAAATTGCTTGAACGGCTTCAGGGATGGAAACAGAGGACACTCTCGTGGGCAGCCAAAGAGACTTTGATTAAGTCAATTGCTATGGCATTGCCATTGCATGTAATGTCCTGTTTCAAATTGCCTCTGTCCCTGTGTCGTTTACTGGATAAGCATGTTGCCAGGTCCTGGTGGGGAGCTGAGGACGGTAACTCAAAGGTGCGTTGGGTGTCCTGGAGGAATATGTGTAGAAGTAAACACGAGGGGGGGATGGGGTTCCGTCGATTTGAGCATTTTAACCAAGCGCTGTTGGCTAAAATTGGTTGGCGTATCTTTTCTGAGCCTCAGTCCCTTTTAGCCCAAGTTTATAAAGGCAAGTATTTCCCCAATGGATCGTTTCTGCAGGCCAAAGCCCGATCTCGACCGTCCTGGGGTTGGCAAAGCATTTTGTTTGGGCGCCAGTTGTTGGAAGAAGGCCTCCGATGGCAGATTGGGAATGGTCGGACTGCTTCCCTCCTTCAATCTAATTGGATACCGCGTGTTCCATTGGAAGATTTGCGCTATAACCCACAAATTTTGCCAGTTGAAGGTAGCCCAAGGGTGGCTGAGGTTATGTGGCCAGGGGAGGGGAGGTGGAATGATGCTAAACTGAATCAATGGTTTGATCCGGTTACTTGTCGAGCAATTAAGGAAATCCCTCTGCCTCGGCAAAATATGGAGGATAAATTGATCTGGCATGGTACGAAGGACGGGGTTTTTACTGTCAAGTCGGCTTATCACCTTGCGGTGTCCCTGGACAGGAGGAAGGGAAGTTGGCAGTCCCTGGCAAGTTGGATGGATAAGGGGAGTTGGATCCGGGTGTGGGATGCTAAGATCCCCCCTAAGTTAAAGGTTTTTCTCTGGCAGATCTTTAGCCGGGCACTCCCAACCACTGAGGCACTTATTGAGAAGAAGGTCCCGGTGCACCCGCGTTGCCCGGTGTGTTGGGCTAGTTCGGAGACAATGGAGCATTTATTTCTCTATTGCCCGGTCGCTCGTGCACTGTGGGACTATTCAGGTTTGGAGTACCTGGGCGAAGGGTTGCCCCAGCAGAACTTTCCGCTTTTTCTTAAGAAGTTGCTTGCCTTGGTTCACCATCCCGCTTTATTCATGGCAGTTGTTGCCGTCCTGTGGAGGATCTGGCGATCCCGGAATTGGGTGGTCTTTGAGGGCAAACAATTTGACATCCCTGCTTTGATGCGACAGTTCCACCAGCAAGTTGAGGAATGGATGAGTGTGCCGCCGGTGGGCAGTTCACCGGGTACGGTTATGCCGGGGTCTGCTCCGCAACCTCCGGTGGGGGTTGGTAGAATGGTGTGTATGTGGGATGGTGCTACGAAGAGAGGGTCCCATTCAGCGGGAGGGATTGTTATCTTGACTCCCTCTCGTGAGATCCTGCTGATTAAAGGGGTCCACATTCCCGTGATCGATAGTCCCATGGTGGTGGAGTTACTGGTGCTTCGTGCAGCTGTGTTCTGGTGTCTAGAGCTTGGTTTTACAAACGTTGTCTTTGAAGGCGATGCCAAGGTGATCGTTGATAAGATCAATCAGGGAGATGCTAGAGACACTCAGGCTGGAGCGGTTCTTGCTGAAGTTGTGCATTATTTTAGGGCCCAGTCGGAGTTCTTGGTTCGATTTGTAGGTCGGGGTAGCAATAGGGTAGCCCATTCGGTGGCTAGAAAGGCCCTTTCTTTGTCCCCAGCTACGAGTCCTTTCTTTGATTTTCAGACCTGGCTGTTTTCCAGGGTGTAACTTTTCTTGGTCTGAATCAATATAAATATCTATCTTTTGTCAAAAAAAAAGTAGTTTTTCAAATAAGAAGTGGTATGTGAGTGTGTCGGTTATAGGATGCATTTTGAGAACCATATTTGATACAAGTGGTTGAATGAAAGATGATAATCATTTAAACAGAGCAATTCTAACTAGGAACGAAAAATAGGTAAAATCGTAAAACATAGAATTAAAACATAAGTTTTTTACACATACTGTAAAATAGTTGCAAATATGTTAAATATGACATATACTATGTAAAATATGCATGCATAGAATTTAGATAAGTTAATAAATACCTGCAATTCATGTCTAAAATAGAGCAAATCATAACATCTTAACAATAAGTTCGTAAACATAGATCTTAACAATAATCCACCTTCCCCTCTATGCTAATAAATTTGGGAAGGGCCTATCTGGTGAATTATATTACGCTATTAAAAAAAAATACATCCAAGTACCTTGGTATGTATCTTTTAATCTCAAATGTCATATATTGTTGGTGATTTACCTTTAGGATATATTATTAATAATTAATTTCAAGAATAGAGTACCCATTTATTGAAATAGAAGCGCAAAAATGTAAAGCGTTTTGGTGAACTACAAACGTAAAAGCGTAAGCTTTAAAGCGCAATTTAGTCCGATTTTATACATTAAAGATTGTATGTGGAAACGAAAACGTATATTATTATGCATACATTGTTAACAATACATTTATTTAACTATCACCAAAACCAATCCTAAATTTAATAATGGGTCTTCCACCCAAAAAAAATTGATGGTTGGTCTAAATTGGTTAGACAAGGTAAAAAGGCAGAATTGTTATATTTCACAAAAACAACGACTGAAAATTAAAAAGAACATGAAAGTAACACAGTGAGTAAGTAATTCTAATTTACTATTAATTACAAAACCTGCAAAAGTTTGGGCCAGAAACGTAGGGGACAACCCCCAAATTTAGGCCATCTCACATAGGTCAAACTCTGATCCCCTTGCTTTTCTCCCCCTCTTAATTTTCACATGTGATGTCACACACACACACTCTCTCTCTCTCTCCATCTCTTTCTCTGCCACCACCTTACACGGTTTTGACTCTATGGATTTTGAACGACGCCTTTTTTTTTTTTTGCCTTTTTCGATTATTAGCCAGGTAAACTACATAAATTATCACCAACTTTTATTATATCACGAAAGTGGTGCTCAATTATTCAGATTAACATGTCATTCCACGAAATTTTTTACTATTAAAAACACAAAATCTTATTAGTTAACTGTAGTGGACTGCCTGTTTCAATCAATGTCTGAGCAAAATTAAATTCCTTCGATGCATTCAAATCCAAGTTACATATTCATCTCAAGATGCCAATTTCTGTTTCGACTCATTCTACCACTCGACCCGATTTGGCTTGACTTGTTTGTGACATACATTCACGAGGTTGAGGCATGCGTATTACTGACCGGACCCCCTTCCTGTTTTCAACCTGTTCTATCTTGACTATCTCAATTGTTTATTGTACTAGTCATCTTCACTTCTCTTATATAATGTTTTAACAACAATGAACTTATGATTATTGTCGAAGTGTAGTTTCCTTTTCCTTATAATCTTTTATATGATTAGACGTTGTAGTGAGTCTACCTTCCTTGACTTATGTCACACCATTGTGTTTCTAATTGGACCGACAATTAATACAAAACAATATTATGATACCGGTCTTGTTCCACCTCTCAATACTGTAATTCCTACTCCAATGATTTCATCCTCATACACTCTTACTCAAAACCTAATAATAGGATCTAACTTTCCTCGTTGCCAAAATTCAGATGAGTTGACATGAGATATATGTCGTGACTATTATATTAGTTACCAAGAACTGGGATTACAAGTTTGTTAAGCACCAAAGTTAAGTAAGTAACTGATTTGTGAACAATCCCAAAGTTCAGCGATCCTTTGTGTAATTGACCCATCATAATTGTTCTTAACTTATTATTTAATTTCTATTAATCAATAATCAAACCTTTTTCCTTCAATTTTTTTATGATAGGAACATTTTTCCTTCTTTTAATTTAATGAAAAAGAAGAAATTCAGGATCGGACGATCTACTAATCACAGCGCACCACCGGCGCAACCCAAAAAATAAAGGAAAAAGGAAAAGAAGTGAAAAAGAAATTAATTTCACGTAAACGGAAACGAAACAAAACAGCGCCTCCTCCCTTCTTCCCTTCTCAATTTTCTCTCTCCTCCCTTTCCCCCCTCTCTCTCGGATCAATCCCATTGTTGCAGCGGCAGCGGCAGCGGCAGGAGAAAGAAGAAGGAAAGAAAGGAAAAAAAGGGAGGAAAACCCATCATTGATCCAGAAAAACCCAATTCGATTTGATTCTGCTTTTGTTATTAGATTGGCATCTGGGATTTCTTTTGCGAGAGGGAGGTAAAACGAAAAAAAAAAAAAGAAAAGAAAGAGAAGCCATCAACCCATTTACAGTTTCTTCTGTAATGGGGTGGCTCTTGGTGTAGGACGAGGAAGGCGTTGAATCTCCAATGCGGTCTTAGAGGGGAAGACCCAGACAAGGCGGAGAGAGGAAGAATCATTTTCTTGAGGAATTTTGCGGAGCTGGGCGGATCTTGGGCAGATTGGGAATAAGGGATCCCCGCCGATGGTGGGAAGGGCATTGCTGGGATCGCAAGGACAAGTGACGAAGGCAAACAAGCAGCTGGTATTGGCTCGATTTGTTCTTACAATTGCTGTTTGTGGTGCTGCTAGGGTAGTGCGGCTGCATACGAGAAGAATATGCAGCTTCACATCTCGCCTAGCATGAGAAGCATCACGATATCGAGCAGTAACAGCAATGGGGGGTTTATTGACTTGATGAAGATCAAGGTCGCAGCTCGCCACATCTCTTATCGAACCCTTTTCCACACCATTCTCATTCTTGCTTTCTTGTTGCCCTTTGTCTTCATTCTCACTGCCCTCGTTACCCTTGAAGGTGTCAACAATTGCTCCTCATTCGGTACATCTCTTCTCGTTCTCTTTCCCTTTTCTCAATCTTTATGATGTGACATGTAATTTGGATCCATTAATGGATCTTGATTTGGGTTTCGGTTGATTTGATCTGGGTTGTAAATTGTATATCCCCTGACTTAATGTAACCTACGTTCCATGTGATTTTGTCTTCCACTTGGATTCATATTCAGGGAACGAGTCTTGCATCCATTGATAGTGATTGTTATCGTTTTCTGTTTACTGCAGTTCGAGGATGGATGCATTGGTTTGACATCTTTTCTGCATTTGCATTCAGAGCTGTATCGATCTGCATTTACGGTTTTTCATATGACTGGCGTCATTTTCCTGTGATTGTGCCTCTTCAAATGGGTTGCTATTCATATTGTAATTTGTAATTCAGAATTACATACCACTACCTTGCTGATTGGTTATGTGCATTACTTTCCGATGTTGCATCATTGTCTGGGATAATTAATGTGTGTTGGTTGTCTACACAAACTTGTGTTCCCATAAGTGTCCCGTTGCTAATGTGATTAAATTATAAGATGGGCTGTAACTTATTAAGATCTACCTTGGGCAGAATCAGAATTTACTCTATCCTTTTCTTCAGTTGCGGAGTCATTGATTTAATTCATACATATAGCATTATTAGGATTATGAATCCTTCTTAGCCACAGTTTGTAGATCCTTACTTCTTTAGCTATTGTCCCATTGGAACACCTATTCCTTTAGATTATTTACATGATGAAATTCCTTTGCATGTGGCACACTTCTCCTAAGGTTTCTGTTGGAATGCGGATAACTGCTAGGTTACGCGGAATGATTCCTTCCTTGCTTGTGTTGTCAGCTTAACTATTGGGTATTTCTATTTTTATTTATCTTCTATTGGTCCTTTCTGTTATCCTTCAGATTGCTTAGGTAGGCGACTTGGACCAAGGCTTCTTGGCAGGGTCGATGATTCTGGGGTAAACATTCCTTGCCCTCCCCTCACAGTTCATATGCTCAGTGGTTATTTAATGATTGATTAACTGAAGTCCTCTCTGTTGACAATGTTGCAGCAGAGGTTGGTCAAGGACTTCCACAAGATACTGAATCAAGTTAATACAGAGGAAATCCCTAATGGTCTAAAGCTCCCGGAGTCATTTAGTCAACTCGTTGCTGAAATGAAGAGCAACCAATACGATGCAAAGACATTTGCTCTGACATTGAGAGCTATGGTATGTTTATGTTTCCATTTATAGCTCTAGCTATGATACACTTGCTGCTAATTTCTTGAGGGAATTGGTGGAAAAGGAGATATTCACGAGGCATGTGATACAAACATAAAAATAAGAATCAATACCTTGGTATCTTCGAATATATATTTATACCCTGATTATCTGTACAGTTGATTGGCTGATCGATAGATATTATGTGGATAAAATCTTAACGAATACTTAAGAATTCAAGTCTTTATGATTTTTGTTGTGCATCTTGGTTGGTATGCAATGAATTGCATAGATAGGCAATGTGTCTAGAGACATTGATTATATGCATTTGGTTGAAAGAGACAATGGATTTATGCATGGCCTTCAGAGCGCCAAGCCTAGTCTCTGTGGAGGAAATCAGTGAAACACTGGTAAAATACATTTTAACCTAACTACTTTCTTCCTGTTCCAGATGGAGAAATTTGAAAGGGAAATTAGAGAATCGAAATTCGCAGAGCTGATGAACAAACACTTCACTGCAAGTTCCATTCCAAAAGGCATCCACTGTCTCTCTTTGCGTTTGACGGATGAATATTCCTCTAATGCACATGCGCGCAGGCAACTGCCTGCTCCAGAGTTGCTCCCTTTGTTGTCTGACAACTCTTACCATCACTTCATACTATCAACAGACAACATTTTGGCAGCATCTGTTGTTGTGACTTCTACTGTGGCATCATCTCTAAGACCTGAAAAGATTGTCTTTCATGTCATCACTGACAAGAAGACTTATGCCGGGATGCATTCTTGGTTTGCGCTAAACCCTGTCTCCCCTGCTATCATTGAAGTCAAAGGCGTCCATCAGTTTGAATGGTTGACCAGGGAGAATGTTCCCGTGCTCGAAGCTGTAGAGAGCCATAATAGTATCAGGAACTATTATCATGGAAATCATGTTGCTGGAACAAATCTCAGTGATACAACTCCACGTATGTTTGCTTCAAAACTACAAGCTAGAAGTCCAAAGTACATTTCCTTACTCAACCACCTGCGGATATATTTACCTGAGGTAATCAGTTATGATCTGAAGTAGTGCTTTATGTTAGTTATGGGTCTGAATTTCCTATGTCTATGCTGCTACACAACAAAGAATAGGAGAGGTAAAATAAATTGATTTGTGGGAAGTTGTAATTTAGTACATAATTCACATGCCTTGTCTTTACCTGTCTTGTTTTACACTAAACAGAGAAACCTTAGCGCATGTCATAGGTTTAGCTTCTTCATAATTTGAAATGCATTTGCAAAATGTTGTTGAAGAATATATAGCCCTTTTTTAACCAAAATGGAATCTGAACCCGTTCAGTAGGTTAATAAATTGCATGTTTCTGATTCTGACACACAGTAAGTTTATTAATTGTAAGTCACATCTGGTACATTTTTGGAGTTCAACATGTCTAACTATTAATATATCAAGTTTTTGGGTCTTAAGAAGTAATCATTTGTGGTTTCAATAAGTACTGTGGAATGTGCTCCTTGCTCTTCCATCCATTACTCGATATTCATTTTTTTTCCGCCTAACTGCCGGTGTTTCAAAAACAGCTGTTCCCGAACCTCGATAAGGTGGTATTTTTGGACGATGATGTTGTCATTCAGCGTGATCTATCTCCACTTTGGGATATTGACCTTAAAGGAAAGGTTAATGGTGCTGTGGAAACATGTAGAGGCGAGGATGAGTGGGTGATGTCCAAGCGTTTCAAGAACTACTTCAATTTTTCTCATCCCCTCATAGCAAACAACTTGGACTCAGAAGAATGTGCTTGGGCTTATGGAATGAATGTATTCGACCTTCATGCATGGAGGAAGACAAGTATAAGAGAAACATACCATTCCTGGTTGAGAGAGGTAGATTTTCTTTTCGTGTTAAGCACACATTATTAACTTGCCTTGCTCTTTAGTACTCTTGTTCAATTTATTTGGGTGTGCATGCAGTCATACATATATATATACAAAGCAATAAGGGGTCGTTTGGATGTGGTAATTTAATACAGTAATTTGATCCAATTACCACATAATGCAGTAATTGGGTTAAAAATTCACGTTTGGGAGAGCAAAAAGAGTATGGGAATTGGACCATGGAAATTGGCTTCAATTACCACATTCATGGTAATTGAGAATACTACACCTCCCCCTAGTGATTTGACATTACCACGTTTTCTTATTTTTTCCCAATTCCACACCATTAATTCCCACAAAACTAAACCCTATCCAAACATGAATTTTTTTCTATTTCCACAAGTCAATTCCTTGGTTTTGTAAAACATGGAAATTCAGACAAATTCCAACGTTTTCAAATTTCCACATCCAAACGACCCCTAAAATTTTATCATTAGAATACATATAGAAGCATCTTCTACATTCTGTTCCCTTATTTTGTTCGAGGATGTTAAAACAAATCTTTTGCATGTCCTTTAGTCAATTCTGTAAAAGTATTCTTTTTGGTGTTTTCTGACATCATGACAAAGTATTCTAGTTTTGTAGCTGCGTACCCATTTAGGCTCAACCTAGTAATTTGAGATTCAACTGAATGTGGAACTTCAAATCTCCATTGGCTTTTAGTACTGACAATAAATCGCTTGCATATAGTTGTGTCATGTATCATTATTAGTTCAGCTTTCATCTCACGGGGTTGCTTTTGGTTGTTTGTACTTGCAGAATCTGAAATCAAACCTGACCATGTGGAAGCTTGGAACCTTGCCCCCAGCTTTGATTGCATTTAAAGGTCATGTGCATGCAATTGATCCTGAGTGGCATATGCTAGGGTTGGGGTATCAGAATAAGACAGACATTGAAAGTGTGAAGAGAGCTGCAGTAATCCACTACAATGGCCAGTCAAAACCATGGTTGCCAATCGGGTTTGAGCATTTGCGGCCATTTTGGACAAAGTATGTCAATTACTCCAATGATTTTGTACGCAACTGCCACATCATGGAGACGTAGCCAACTCATACAACGATAGAGAGAGATAGAATTATTAGCTGAGTGATATGAATTGTCACATGAAGTCAGACTTTATACACTTGAGCATTCTCTGGATGTCTACCGAAAGACAGAAGGCTAGCAGAAACTTGGGCGTAATGGTTTTCAGGTCAGAATTCACTACCCATTAGCTCTGCATCACTAGCACGGGCACTGAGAATTCATTCTTTCATTTGTAACATAGCAATCGCATATTAATTCTTCCGGTTGGAATTATGAACAAAAAAGAGACTATATTGAAGGAAGCTAGCCTGAATTCTTGGCTCAATTAGTTCCCATGTCTAGAATAAAGAAGGTACGAGATACACGATTAGGAAGTTTCTTCACTGGCGGCTGAAATTTGCACCAACCATCGATACTATACACTTCGATTTTGGTGGCTGGAAAGAGAAGTCGAGCAATGAATAGGACAGTTTATATTCTGCACTGCAGAGGGAGGGCTGCTGTTATATTCTGTAATTCTGTTATGAAGCCAGAAGAAGCTCTTTCCTTCATATTCTTCTTATTGTTACTGTTGTCAAAGATTTTTTGTTAGAGACTCTTCTTCTCCCTTGCTTTTGAAGTTTGATACCAGTTGAGTGAAACTGTAGAAATAGAGGTAAGAAAATGAAGATTGCTGCTATGTTACAAACAGGTTCCGTCTTAAAATTTTGTTGGGGGACTGGCTACTGCAATTATAGGTACTCCCTTATATGTACGAGGATAATGATGGTGATGAACCTCAGGAGAGACACAAACATTTGAAAATGTGCAGAAATATTCTTTCTTTTCCCCCTTTGTGTTGAACAGTTTCATGATGGTATGCTTGAATTGAATTCTGATCCTTTCCATTTTCTTCTTTCTGCATGATTATTCATCATCATAACTGCTCAAGTCTATGAATGCCTGATACTAAGTGAATAACCCTGAGTTCATCACGATACAAGTTACACATTTCCTTTTGACGAAATTCGTTTCATTCAATGTTTGCTAAACATATTTCTATCATTAGGCCTTGATATTCCTGATTGTAAAACACCATTCGAACAATTTAGTACGAAACTTCCCACGATGTAGAGAACTAACATTAATATCTTTGTAATCCACATAGAGACGGTCGGGGAAAAACCCTTAATCAGTGTTTTCTTCTTCTTCTTTCTTTCATTTCTTCTAAATTAAGATGTGGGTGAGACAAACATATAAAACAGGACACAGGAACTCTCGGAGATTAACACTCAAACAAGGGAATACCTTGTGTCTGTTGATGAATTGGAATCATTGTCCCTGTAGTTTACATCATCATTTGTATCCCTTTGGACAAAACAAAGGCAAAAGTCTGTCTGTCTTTCCCTCTTTTGCTTGGATGGAAGGAAAAGAACAATGAGAGAAAAAAAAAAAAATAGAAAACAGAGGAGCTGGAAAGATTGTCGATGTCCTTCCATGGCGATTGACTAGAGAGGGATAGTTACATAAATGTGTACTTTGACCAGAGTTTGAAGACTCCAAAGAAGAATCAACACTTCTCCTCTCTTTTTATTAGCGTCAACCATTCCTGTACCATATTTTTCTCTTTTCGTTTTCGCCAAAGCTCATATTTTATTCGGTCACTGAGCTTCAGTTATTCTTTAGTTACTCCTTTTCTCTCTTAACGCGCAATCTTCTTCTTATTCCAAACTACCAGCCATTACCAAATTCCACTTTTCTACGTGTCACTACTTAATTCTTCCTTTATTGTTATGTTGGACCGGTTATTTTCCCTCTCGGTCAAGAATGACTAGTCCATTTTCATGGAGTTTCTTCACTTAAATTGTTCTATCAGCATGTAAACTCGTCGATATCGAAAAGAATTTCTATGAACCCTCCCTCTTACTGACTATTAGATAGGGGGAGCAAGCATGTGAGTGATCCCGAGATAATGTGAGTTAAAACTCAGCTGAATACCGAGTTTGATTTTGATTGGATATGAATTATATCGTGTCACTTGATTAGGGTTTATTTGGTTGCTTCTATAATTGACGAGTTGAAGTGAAATACTTGTATGCACGGTCTGGACAAATAATTTTCACTAAAATAAATAAAAGTGGTTTGTTGTGTTAATCGTTACAACTATTAGCAGTGAATTCATAAAAAAAGTGAACTTCAATGATTGATTTGTTAGAATCCTTTCATAAACTAGATGGCAACACATGGACGAACCACTCAAGTATTGTTGAATATTTTAGTGTCATCACTTTTATCCAAAGATCATCGTATAAATTAATTCAAGTAAAGCAAATGCATGCCTTTTCCTCCTAAAGTAGGATGCTAATATAAAACAGAAACTCACAAGTCACAACAAATGATTGGGTAGGATATCTAATTATATAAGAGGTGGCATATTACATTCATACCATCATTAACAATAAGATTATTACACACAATTGTCCATCTATTTTATTTACTTCTGTCTCACTACTTTGATAATTACTTTTCTTTAGAGGTGGTAATTAGTATCCAAATCCATGAATCCAATCCAATCCATCCACCAAATTATCCACTTAATCCAATCCATTTAAATCCAATCCATTTGATCCAAATCCAATTGGATTGGTGGATTCATAGATCAATCCATGGATCCAAATGGCAAATTATGATTTGGTACCTATATTTTTTATATTTTATATTTTGGTACCTAAAATTTATATTTTTATACGAAAAATATCATTGGAAAATTACATTTTGATACCTAAATTTTTTCATTATGACATTTTGGTCCAAGCCTTGGATGTCATTTGGATTCATGGATCAATCCACCAATCTATTTGATCCAATCCATGAATCCACCAATCCATTGGATCCAATCCATTTGATCCATGAATCCACCAATCCAATCCACGAATCCGATCCAATTGCCACCTCTACTTTTCTTACATTTAAAATGTCACGACATTTAGTTTGTTAATAACGAGTGATCTCGATTCATATATTCAATCGTACCTTCCAAACTTGGTAAATACCTGACACATTGCTGAAGTGAATAGTGTTATTGATGAATGGCATTTTTTTTCCTTCTCAGAATGGCCTAAAAAAAGTTGGAGGACTAATTTGTCAGAAACAACAAATTAAAGGAGTGTGCCGAAAAGTCAATAACCCGTTCTTCTCGTTTTTAGCCAAGGACGGCAGAAGTTTTCTCAGGTCCAAGATCAAGTATTAAAATAGGAGAAGAAAAAAATAAAATAAATAAACGAAGCAGGAAAATTAAGGAAGAAGGAAATAAAAGGAGAAAATGGAAGTCCATTTCCATGGTCATAGGAGGGAGGTAGGAGGAGAAATGGAGAAGAAGGCAAGGACGCCAGATATGGACATGGGGGGATTGAATTGAGAATTGATTGCGCACAAAATAATATGCATAGTTTTGTTTTTAATTCCTCACCATTTTTATTAGATTTTTAGAAATGGAAACAACTTAGAAAACTCCGTAAACGCCCCCTCCTTCCTTCCTTCCTTCCTTCCTCCCTCACCTCTCTTCTTCTTAGTTCTTCCCTCTTCCCAATCGCTGCCGATTCGTTTATTTCTGTCTTTCCCTTTTCGTTTATTTCTAATCTCTCCCTTTCCTTCTCCCTCTTCCTTCGTGTTTCTTTCACCTTTCTGTATACTGATGCCCAATACCCTGTTTCAACTTCCCTTTCTCGGTGGCCATCATTATAATTGTTCAGTTTCGAATCTTTTCAGCGATTAGCAATTGGCCCAGATCAGTTCTGCCACCAAGTAAGAAAACCCATTCCCCAATTTCACTCCCTACCCCTACTCTTGCTTGTCTGATCGATTCAATTTATTGTCAGTAGTTTCGTCAATCGGATGCAGCTGTAATTACAGCTTTCTGGAACTGAGGGGTTCCTTTTTCTTTGTTGATTATGATGATCTTTAGAGGAGGCGGAGATGTGGTTTGTGATCTTTTCTTGCTCTTCGCAGAATTTTGGGGTTTTCTTGCTCTTTTGTAGCTTGCGATCTTTTCAGTTTCCTTCCCTGTATTTCCAGTCTCTGTTTATTTCTATTATTGTTTTTAAATTCCAGGGTTTTCTTGTTTTGTTGCCTTTAATTCAGCTAGTAGCAGCGATGAGAATTCATAACAGGCATAAATCAAAGCACTAGGTCAGCTGATTAGAATTGGAGCCAATCGTGAATTCGTGATGGTTAGTTTTAGGGTAATTTCAGAGTTTTGGTTGCTGATTTTCACGTATCAGGGAATGATTCCTTCCTTAGAAATCCGATTCTTAAAGATGTCTTTTATTCAACCTTACGTTTCTGGTTCCTAAAATTTCCACTTGCAAGATACTGAAGAAGACTCCCTTTTTCCGTATTGTCTTTGGCAGGAAGCTAAACGAGTCAAGACTCAAGAGTCTTCATCAGTCCTTTGTTTCCTAGAAAACACTACAAGGTTCAATTTTTTTTTTAATAAAAACTCCAGCTTGTTTGAGCTGTGGTTGATATTGGGATAACAACAAACCCTGTAGCTCCCTGCATTCTGGGAACTCAGTAGTTGTTATATCCGCAAAGACATGGCCGGGGTACAAGATCAGTTAGAGATCAAATTTCGATTGACAGATGGATCAGATATTGGTCCCAAAAGCTTTCCTACTGCTGCAAGTGTTGCAACTTTGAAGGAAACCGTTCTTGCTCAATGGCCTAAAGGTAATGCCAACTTCCATTCTATGCTTAATGAGAAATCATGTTGTCTGTTTCATTGTTCATGTATTGACATTTGTTATAGAATGTGGGCTTAAGAGGTCTGTCTCTACAGTTTCTTATCATTTGTTGTTAAAAATTCAGAAAAGGGAGATATTCAACTCCAAACAAAGAGCGCCAAGATCACCTTGTGTATGTTTATACTGCATAATACTGCTCTGGTGCTTTGCTTAGCTGAATCCTGGCTTTGCTAACCTTAATAGTGGCATTCCTTGGGCAGAAGCTCCTTGTAAATTTGTTATAAACCTTTTGGCTTCTCATGGTTTTTTCATGTTCTTAGCATCATCTCCCATGAAGTGATAAAAGGAAGTTGTTCTTGGTTTTATTTTCTCACTATGGCAGTGGTCTACTATGCGAAAAGAAACTGATTTTCTTCAAGTTGAATAAAAAAGTTAGTGGTATCAAACAGGGAGCCATGTAATTGCCATCATACCCTTCTGGGCCATTGTGTTTTTTTCTTTTCTCAGTTTTTGAATCCAGTCTCCTTGATTCTTGTCCAGCCTCTACCTATGATAGGGTAACATAAAAACATGCTATACTGTGGAAGAAGCCATTGACAGGTCCTGTCCCCTCCTACAACCAATCTGGAGTAGTCTGCTCGATAACATAATGCCTTTTGAACCGGAGCTGATTTTGATTTATCGAGGCAGCTTCAGCTGTGAATAAAAGAGAGATTCACTTTTGTGTTATTCTTCATGCTCTGAGAACATAATTTATAGTTGGAGTGGTGTAGGTCCTGTCCCCTCCTACAACCAATCTGGAGTAGTCTGCTCGATAACATAATGCCTTTTGAACTGGAGCTGATTTTGATTTATCGAGGCAGCTTCAGCTGTGAATAAAAGAGAGATGCACTTTGGTGTTATTCTTCATGCTCTGAGAACATAATTTATAGTTGAAGGAGTGGTGTAGGTCTTTCATTATGGATCATTGCTAAATTATATTTCCAGAGATGTCAACTCTGGTGCTTTCTCTTCATTTAGTTAATGGATCAGATTGGATCAGAGAGAGTATTAAGATTTGTTGAATGTCTTTTTCTATCACAGAGAAAGAGAATGGTCCACGAACGGTGAAAGATGTGAAGTTGATAAGTGCAGGAAGGATATTGGAGAATACACGAACCATAGGGGAATGCCGCAGTCCTCTATGTGATGTTCCTGGTGGGGTCACAACCATGCATGTAGTTGTTCAACCACCATCAACAGAGAAAGGTACGATCTTGTGTTCACTTCACGAACTCTGCTTTTGACTGAACTTATATTGCATTTAAAGAAACTTCTCAAACCATGCACATCTCATACTTTTTTGTATAGATTGTGAACCCCTTGCTTATTATTTGTGATAGTTCATCTCACTTGGCGGTAAACTTTGTGACTATACACAGGCTGCTGCTACTTCCTTTTTGTTGTTCTGTTGTATCATAGGATTTAAGTTCCATGCACTGCATGACCAATAATGGAGCTCACTTTAGTAGTTTCAGACGACTTCTAACCCGAAAAATGCCTCTCTTGTATTTGTTTTCTGGATGTAGCAGATAAGAAAGCAGCTCATCTACCAAAACAAAACAAGTGTGTTTGCGTCATTTTATAATTGGCAACGGTAAAGCAGAAAGAACAGCCAGATTTCCAGGCAAGTTATTTTTACTGGTGTTGTTTTTTCTCCTAATCTGCAACAAGCAAATAATGACATTGTTTTGTTTTCCCTTCATACAGGTAAAATAGACATTGGAGCTGTTACAGATGAACATTTATGTGAATTGGTTTTGAGGGGGGCATTGGGGTCATCAGGAGGGTGCATTTGTCACAGCTCACAGGGTCTTTTACTTGAGGCGCAAGTCTTTGCTTCCTACAGAGAAACAGTTGTGTGTGTCTCGCTGTCAATTCAGTATACAATGATTGTGATAATGTGGGGGGAAATGAATTGGATTTACACTTGTATGCAATCTAACTACGACCGACAGTTTTTTCCTTTTTTGTGGTCAAGTCACTTTCTCATTGATGCACTGTCCGTACGACGGTTTTGGGTTCTTTCCAAAACCAGTACCCAAATTCATTTCGGCTGTTGGAAGAGTTATATGGTTGAATCTGATTTAGGATGCATCTTTTTCAGGTAACATTTCAATTAATGCAAAGCAATATATGGAGCTGCGAGTTCACGTTTTAAGTGTGGTTAGCAAACGGTTTGCAGTCAACTTATATGGACTTGAAATATGCATAGATTCAGAATACCTTGATATTCCAAAAAGACCATTGATACACTAAAGAGACCATTGATACTCCAACAAAAGACTTCTCAGTTATCGACAAAAAGCTCCGATATCATGTTTATAACTATTTAGTACTAATAATTCGTTGGAATAGGTTCCATAATGGATATTCAACCGTAGGAAGGAGAACGAAATAGATGCATAACCCAAAATTTGAAAATTAAAATTTATTTGATAATGGAAAATTAAAATTTATACAATCACTCTTTTATTAATTCTCATTTGTTGAGTTGTTTTTCTTCTTCGTTTCTTTATACCAACAAATTGTGGTAAATGTGATCTACAAGGTAAAATTCATTTTGGTAATAAAATATTTCATGCTCTAATACCATGTTGTATCATTGTTGCAAGACGTGTCCTACAACGATCGTAAGACCTATTTTGACTCTTTAATACGATTGTACTTACTAAGCGGACTATTATCGTGAGAAGTTTTACAACAATAATAACACTGAATTTACAATAATACGTAAGACAACTTACGACAGTCATTAGAGGTCTTACAATGATAATGAAATTTTGTATGAATGTAGTAACCATAAGAAATTAAAAATCAATTTAAAAAAATAGATGACTAAATAATATCATTTAACCTTAACATATTGAAAAAGATGCAAGTTGATCATAATTCATAACTCAACCAGGATACACAAGGATTATAAAAAAATATCTGGATCCACAAGGAGGGGTTTTCAAGGGTTAATTGCACCGAATATCATGTAAGTATTGGTTTCATTGCATATTAATCATTTAGGTTCTTTCAGTTGCAAATAAACCAAATAAGTTGGTTTCCGATTGCACCGTTATATTTTTCATCAGTAAACTTAACGGCAGGTATCAAATTATAATTTTCCGCATCAATTTACCCAATTTCATTTTCCCACACATTCTTCCATCTTTATTTCGGTATTACTAGCACTCTCTTTAATTATTTTATGCCCTCCTCTATTGTTTTCGTCAAAATCTACAATTGTTTATTTTTTTTGTTGGTCTAATTGAAATAAACTTTGGTATCCTTCCAAATAAACTAAATTTTTTAAATTTATGTGGAATGTGAAATGCAATCCTTATTATATTTTTTCGTTTATAACATGTTATGCATAATTGGCACCTCTATATAGGATTTTCTCTAGGGGGAAAGTTTTTTGGGTGCCCTCTTATAGATTGTTTAAATTCATCTATTATGCATGAATTTGTACATGTTATTGCTGTATAAGTGTTGTAATGAATATTTGAGCGGACAAAAGTTAAAACATAAAAAGTCTTTCTTTAGTTGAGTTCTGCACACCTGAACTTCAGGTGTCAATCAGATAAAAACTAAAGAAACATATTGAGATTAAATACAAGGGAATGTTTTAAACTGAATGAGTGAAGAAAATTAAGAAACAGGTCTTAAATAATAAAATTGAACAGGTGAAGTTTTATCATAGCTTTGTTACTAGTGTTCTACTAAAGAAAAATCGGCACAGCGAAACTCAGTTTCTCGACCGAAGTCCCCATCTCCAACTCTATAAATAATTTTACAAGAGGATCGGCAGCCATAGAGCAAGAGAAGAATTTCAAATGGCTATTGTGATCGGGTTTATTCAATCCTCCATTTTTTATAAAAAAATTATTTATTTTGTGGAGAGGAAGAAAGTGAAAGAAAAATGGCATGGTGGAAATTAAGGTGGAAATTTTCAATTTAATACCCACCATTAAGTTTCAAAATGAAAAATATAACGGTGAAACCGGAAGTAGACTTGTGTGGTTTAGTTGCAACTAAAAACACTTAAATGGTTAATATACAACTTAACCAATACTTACATGATATCCAGTACATTTAATCGGATTTTCAATGAATTTGGGCTTTTGCGACATCAATTATCATCATATATCTTACAGAAAAAGAAAAAGAAAAACTATTCCCCGCATAACCGTCTGCTTTGCGGAAAGCTTAGAAAACCTATATAATTCCCGTCAATTCAAAAGAGATCATCGGCAACCTAATTGCCGTGAATTGAAGAAAGTTTGAAGGAGATAATCGACAAAAATCTTCGTAAGTTGCTGTTCTTTTGGTCTCGATTCTTTCTTCTTGCCACCAGTGGCGGAGCCACATGAGGCCAAGGTGGGTCATTTGCACCACCTTGGCCCAAAAAATATGGAGTAAATTAATTTATATGATTGTTGATAAAATACAAAATTTCTATATGATTGTAGATACGTAAAGTAATGTTTTATGATCTCTATTTAACTTTTAGTTTATATATTCGATAAGAGATTTTAGTATATACAAAAACTCGAAAAGTAATGTTATTACTTAGACCCGTTTGTTGCTATCGGTTGTCATTCAAGTATTGAAAGAGTACTTATGCAATTAGCAAAGTAAAGAAACACTTCATAATAAGATGAGTTGTGTAATCATGAACGATTTTTCGTTGTGATATCTTAACATCTCTCATCATTTGCTTGATGAATATATTTTAGAAAATTTTCAAAACATAAACACATTCAACAACATACGCACCTTAGATAAATTTCTGGCTATGCCACTGCTTGCCACTGTAATTTGGCGTCAGCCCGGAACTGGGGTTGTAATCCCTTTCTCTTGTTTTAGTTTCATCTACTCCTCCTTCCTGATTTTGTAGGGCAATGACAAAAGAAATAAGTCAGGGTAATTCTCTACGGGTCTCCCTATGATTATTGATCTTTTTAATTTGTTTACAGGCTGCAGTTGCGCGGAAGAAGAAGAAGAAGAAGAAGAAGGTGCTACGGCAGCCCACTGGGATAAGTAGTTGTTCTTGCGCTGCAATTTGACGTCAGCCTGGAATTCGCTTCATACCTGCTCCAAAACCTTCTGTCGGTCTGCTTTCCATCCTTAATTTGCTGGTTCCTCCTTGCTGATTTTGCAGGCCAATGACAAAAAGAAGAATGTGCTCCAGAATGAGAAAATGAATTTAGGTTAGGTAGAAAGGACGTTAATCGTTGGGATGGGGAGCATCTGAGTACGCGAACGACAACAAAAAAACGGATCAATTGGTTGTTATTTTTGCTGTTTGTGGCTAGTGAAGAGTGAAGACGTGGTGGAATCGAAGATAAAGAGCAAGAGTCTGCGGAGGCCGGGGACAGAGCTTGTCTCTTGTAATTTATGTGGGTCAATATTACAGATTTGGAGAATAAATGCTACGCAAAATTAAAAAGAACTATAAAATCATGTATACACCTAAAATCATAAAATGTGTCCAAACTTGTTGGTGGAGAAGAATTGAATCAAAGTGGCATGAGCTCACTTCTTACTCTCAATAGACTATCGTATCTAATTTTTATAAGTTCTTCAAATAGTTAAGGTGGTGCTGTGGTGGAGTTGCTTGTGCTCAGGGAAGCTATTATTTGGTGCGTGGAGCAAGGCTTGTCGGCGGTCCGATTTGAAGGTGATGCGAAAGGTGATTATTGACAAGATTAATCAAGCCGACACAAGAGATAGCCGGTTGGGGTGCTATTCTGGAAGAGATTAGACATTATTTTCGTACTCAGCCTGGTTTTAGTGTGCGTTTTGTAGGTCGGGAGAACAATAGGGTAGCTCATCTGGTAGCTAGGAAAGCCCTCTCTTTGTATCTGACTATGAGTTGCTTCTTTAATTTCCAGACCTGGCTGATATCCAAGGTGTAACTATCTATTTTTTTTTTTATCAATACATGATATCTTTTGACAAAAAAAAGTGCAAATAAAGTAAACCACTTTGGTATGGATTTGCTCCGCCAACTGCGGAATACACAAGTTTTGCCACATGGAGATTACGGGATAATCCCAAGTTCATTACAACCTTCATCTTCTACTTCTCTTTGATTAATGACATATAACAACAACAATAATAATAATAATAATTAAGCAATCGGAATATTTTAATATTAAAAAGTGAAACCAAGAATTAATGCTCTCTGCACGTTTTTGCCTTCTTGTATATCCTCCTGGACCTGGTGGCCTTGGCCAAAAGGTAACATTCTACTTGTTAATGCAGTCCCAACAAAAATACGACAAGGAACTGGGAAAATGGAGCAGCTACGAGGCTCTGGATATGTAAATCCATGCAAACAAAGAGACCTAGACGGCGGTGATTAGGGATATCAATTTGAATATTCCTCTTGTTGAGTATTATTCAATCTGATTTGCAATAAGGTGGGTCAGTGGGTATTACTCGACTCAAAGTAACATGGAGTGGAATCAATTCTATCTAAGTTTCATACAATATTTATTCACATTTATCTTATTTTGGCTTTTCTTTAACTAGTTAAATTTGATCTTTCAACTAGTTAAACTCATTTCGCCCATTCTATTATCTCTAATTTTATTCATGAAGTGTTTCTCCTTCGTTTTATCATAAACATTAAAACTTTGCGTGTATTTTCCCCCCAAATAACACGTAAAAGTGGATTGACCTGTCCCGCTCTATACCTACGTGGGTATTACCTACTCCAACCTGAACTTGGTGCGGAACGGATATAAGTACTAAGATACCCATCGTATGCCCACCCGTTTGCCATCACTATATGTGCCCAGCAGCTCATGCTTCCGGTTTATATAGGATGCTGCCGTCTAAGGATAATTGCGGCGATGGAACCTTGGCTACATAGGATACTGCCGTCTAAGGCTCTTTGAAATAACAAGAGCTATAGAAATATTAAGTTGCCAAGAGATTTGCCCTTTCTAGCTATAATTAGAGGCAAATCTTATACCCTCATTCTTTCACTAAAAAAAAAAGCACATTCTGATTCTACCATGGCCAAAATGCTGAGACTATATTCCCTCCTCTTCCTCTTCACCATTTTATTCTCGGAGGCTAGATTGACATCATCGCACCCTTTCTCGACGAAACTGTCGGCAAAAGCAATGGCGCTGAAGAATGAGAAGCTGACCCACCTCCATTTCTACTATCA